GGTGGACGGAACATTTCCGATCTGCAAAGATGTTTCAACAAGGTGGTAAAAAAGGACAGTCAAAAATTATTGCGCACCTGGACATTCAGTCCATCATTTGCCTTCCGAGTGTAGTATCCCTGTCCATTCAGATCTGGTTTGGCATAGAGGACAACAATTGTCCCATCATACATGAGCCAGCCCTTGCGCCAGAGCCCTTTGAAGCCAAGATGTTTATCCATCCAGACCTTCTCCACCTCCTTCTCTGCCACTGTTAAGGGCTGAACAAAGAGGTCATGAAGATCCTCTATGGCGGTGAAGACCCGATCTGTGAAGGTCTCAATTGTGCCCTCGCTAACACCTGCCACACGCCCGACATCTTCGAGTGATGCGGCATTGCCGTAGCGTCCGAGACGGTATAAGGCAACCGCCAGTTGTTTTTCAACTGGCATCTGCTTCTGATTAGAATTGTTATGGAAGACTGGGTTCTCCTTGATGAGATCCAGCAAAACACTGAACACCATCGGCGAGATGCAAAGCATGTTGGTGAAACGGCCATGGTCATCTGGATTGCCTGCATATACCCAGGCGAGACTGAGGTTCTCAGCCTTGGCAACATGGCCACGGTTCTGGAAGTAAGTGTAGAGCGTATCGAGTGAAGGGTGTAAACATCCATAGCCAGTTTTTTGATCAGCTCCTCGAAATTGAGGGATTCGGGTGGGATAATAAGGTCGTGCATGAGCATGTGGGTCATGTAGAGCCGAAGAATGCGGGAATGCAAGCTTTCTCAAGGCATTTAGTAGTCTGGGCCTTGGGAATAGTGTCGGGGAGATTGCAAGTGTACATAGTGTCGCGATTAAATCACGTCTGTGCGCCTTCTTATCAATGAGATACATGAGGATAGGGGCCGAATTCCATTTTGGGGCTGTCACATCATACACGTGCTACGGCTCACATGACGACCTGCGTGCCTGCACTCCTGCGTTCCTGTGAACCTGCGCGTCTACTCTGAGCTCCCCTATTGGTTTGTTCCTGAGGCCTGCCGGTCCTAGCACGTATGCTAGCCGGACACGCACCCCAACTGCTTGCTGCGCGACCACGTAGGTCGCGGAATATTTCTAGTTCTCTATTGGTCGACGCAATACTGCCGTCCGGCCGTATCAACACGTCTCGCTCATTCCTTCAGTCCAAGTGCCTGTCATCGATTCTGATGACTATCTCGTTATGTGTGATTGCCATTGCAACGCGTCTTTCCATGATCAACGCTCATCGTGGTCATTTCCTGACGATCTCCGATGTCTCGGCTTTCTCGATTTCCTGATTCTTGCTCAAACTACTGTTCGCGAGCCAAGTTATAGTCGTCGCGACTAGACCCTGTCTAGAATCTAGTGTATATATATGACTTTCCATGCCCAATCTGTGGACTTCATGCATGTTTCTCAAGTTTAGGTGTTGTTACCTCCTCGATACAGTGTCTAGCTTTTAGTACAACCGACCCTTTGTGAAGTCAATTCAATACTATGAAGCCCACTGAGTCCCAGACACCGCACGCTAACCCCCAATGGTATAAGGATCAAACCATATTGTATCTAGAAGACAATAGTCCTCTCGCGTCATGAACACCTAGCCAGCAGCTCGGAGCTCACTCTGACTCTACTTGTATATCACCGGATAGAGGCTCTAGTTGGCGACTAGAAGTGCAAAAATGCACGATTACACCGGCATGCAGTTACGAGCCGTATCATCGCAACGGAGGAATCCTAAGGTTGCTGATTCCTTCCCTGTGGGAGAGAAAAGCCTTCCAGTAGCACTGCTTTTCCGTTCTACACTCAAGAACGAGAGAGGTCAGTCGTGATGTGATGCGGAGGGAAGCGCTGGCGCTAGTCTGGGGTATGTTGGTCCTGTTTTTAAGTCTCCGCCGTCGTATTTCCCGACTTCAGAGTGTTACCAAACACAAATGTAGGGCGGTGATATGGCTCATAACTGTGTGCCGGTGTAATCATGCATTTTTGCACTTCTAGTCGCCAACTAGAGCCTCTATCCGGTGATATACAAGTAGAGTCAGAGTGAGCTCCGAGCTGCTGGCTAGGTGTTCATGACGCGAGAGGACTATTGTCTTCTAGATACAATATGGTTTGATCCTTATACCATTGGGGGTTAGCGTGCGGTGTCTGGGACTCAGTGGGCTTCATAGTATTGAATTGACTTCACAAAGGGTCGGTTGTACTAAAAGCTAGACACTGTATCGAGGAGGTAACAACACCTAAACTTGAGAAACATGCATGAAGTCCACAGATTGGGCATGGAAAGTCATATATATACACTAGATTCTGGACAGGGTCTAGTCGCGACGACCATAACTTGGTTCGCGAACAGTAGTTCGAGCAAGAATCAGGAAACCGAGAAAGCTGAGACATCAGAGATCGTCAGGAAATGACCGCGACGAGTGTTGATCATGGAAAGACGTGTTGCGATGGCAATCACACATAATGAGATAGGCATCAGAATCGATGACAGGCACTTGGACTGAAGGAATGAGCGAGACGTGTTGATACGGCCGGACGGCAGTATTGCGTCGACCAATAGAGAACTAGAAATATTCCGCGACCTACGTGGTCGCGCAGCAAGCAGTTGGGGTGCGTGTCTGGCTAGCATACGTGCTAGAGCCGGCAGGCCTTGGGAACAAACCAATATACCTAGCATGGGTTAGAGCTGGTCAAATCTAGATGACTAGTCTCGGCCTCGAACTACAAATACCAGTGGCATACCTCCACAGTTCCGTGTACATCAAATCTCTCTTATATCTTGACTCATTTCTCATTACTATCTACAATTCCTGTATTGTATATAAAGCCTAGCAGAACCCACGATTCAGTACTGCATCTCCCACCTAGGTAACGGTGTTGGTGCTGGTCTGAGCCTAGCGCGGAGATACGTTTATATAACTATCTTTGTTGTTTTCATTCAAATATAAAAGTGGTCTCGTTGGCATTAAAAACGCTTTAAAGGACTTGAGCCGTGTTCGTGGGGAGTCACGACACTTGTGTGAAAGGCACCTGTTGATTGTTATCTCAGGTCTGCTGTTGGCATCCATTCCAGTGAGTTCGGTCACAGTACCCGGTCATTGGCATCTGTTCCCGTGAGTTCAGTCACGATCCAAAGTCTAGATCCAGTACGGTCTCCGTCGGAGTACGGTAGGAAATCCTATCGAAGTCTAGAGGGTCTTCGAGATATCTTTTTGAGGTGCCTGGAAGTATAAAACATATAAAACCCATATTGCTTCAGTCAAAGTAGATAATCCCTGGTCAATCTTTGACTACTTTGGGCTCATATTGGTCCTAATAAGACTTCTATTGAGTTGGCATTTTTGAGACACGAACCTGAGAAGTTCAATCTTACCTGTAAACTGCAGGATGACCCGAACTCAATTGTGTGTGTGTGTCTGTTGGTTGTAGTGTTTTTAGTTGGTTAGTTGCCGTCTAGCAGCTTTCCGATTATCTTCGCGAACATCAGTGTACCCATAGTCACCATTTCAGCGGGTCCGCTGTGATTGTCGTTATTCCGCACAATCCCTCTCTGCTTCATTCCTTTCTTCTGCCTTTACGGAGAATTCCCTTTTCTCCGTCAAAGAGTCCACTCCTTTGAAAGCTTCTTGAATGGTGTGCCGTCATTCTCCTGCTCTACTGTAGGACCAGGTGTCCCGATGGGGTTTTAACAGCTACGCACAAATACGACAAAGTCGTCTGCGGCATCGTTCATAGTGGGAGCTCTGCTCCGCTTGGGCCTATATGGTGATGGAGGAGGCAAATATCGAATAAGGGTGGGGTATAAGTGTCTCCGCTGCAAGTAAACGGTGGTGGAGTGAGGCAGAAGGGAAGGAAAGGTGTTCCCTTCGGTCTCGGTGACCTTAGGTTCTTTGCGTTGACTGTTCCCTTCTGTTCTAGAGCGGTTTTAAATGCCTAGATTGCAAGGGGAGAACTAGATACCGTTACTACAAACTCTACTTCATATTTATACCCCAGTGAAGCCCAGTGCACTGCCTTCCCAGGAGTAATGTTGAGCCTCCGCTGACTCCGTTGTGCGTGAAACAGTCTGGCGGAGCCGGTGGAACCGACTCTCTGGTTGCCAGCGGACCCTTGTGGTGGTAGTTTGACACAGTGTACCTGTGTCATACTTCTGCCAGTGGAATTCCCTCTTTTTTCATGGCGGAACACAAGCCCTCCACAGAATCGGACTCTCCTCGATGTTAACCTATGCTTATCAACCCGTTTAGGATATTGTGGTTCAGCCATCAGTTATATCTTCCCGTTCAGGCAATTTCCGCTTAGCGGAATCGCATTCTGATGGTCCTGCCTTCTTCAATGGTGCCAGGTTTGAGATTCCGCTGCCGTAAATCCTGTCAGTCATTTGTTATTACTGGACGGGATTGCCATGCGTTCCCTTGCAGCGGAATTGATCCATGTGTGCGTGGTTTTAGTCAAAGGGGATTTATAATTTGAAGAATGATCCTCCGTTTCTGTCTCTGTATCAGTTCCATAGCGTAAGGGTTAACGTGCTGTGAATGCCTCTTTTGGGACCAAGGATTTCTGTGGAGACTCCGGGTTCGATTCCTGACTGTCTTGAACGATTCGGTTTTTATTCTTCCAAGCGACTTGTTTTCCACTGCAATTCTGGTGGTTGTTTCTCGTTCAGTATTGGCGGATAGGACTTTTCAAGTGACGGGATGGGTTTTCCAAGCAGCGGAACCTGTTCTTTAAGCGGCAGAAGGGCTGAATTGGCGACCTAACAGTGTTTTCATGCTTTTATTGTTGACGGAATGTGTTCTCCAGGCGGCGGAAGTCATCGGAACGTGTTCTCCAAACGGTGGAAGTTGATGGAACGTGTTCTCCAAACGGTGGAAGTTGATGGAACATGTTCTTCGAGCGGCGGATGGGCTGAACTGGCGACCTAACAGTGTTTCCATGCTTTTATCGTTGACGGAATGTGTCCTTCGAGACAACCTCTGTGCCCATCCGCATATTGGTGTCGTAGCATAGGGTGTTGCACCGTGGTTTACTTGAGGGACAACATATTGTTTCGCAGATGTCTCGGGTTCGACTCCCGGCGGCGCCATCTCTTTTTAAAGTTCTGAGTATGCTCGTTGTTGTATGGGAATTTCCTCCTTCTCCGCTAGTCGTTTCCCCTGTGGTGAGGAATATTACAAGTTTCCGGAGTCGGCACGTGGAGCCGGCTCACAACAGGTGACCCTATTTGCCCAAGGCAGTGGCCTCATAATTTGCAGACAACCCAGTGATACGGTTCGAAACTGTGTTCTGGTGTAATCTTGCATTTTGGCACTTCTAGTCGCAAACTAGAGCCTCTATCCAGTGATATAACAATTAGAGTCAGAGTAAGCTCCAAGCTGCTGGCTAGGTGTTCATGACGCGAGAGGACTATTGTCTTCTATGGTTTGAGTCTTATACCATTGGGGTTCAGCATATGGTGTTTGGGATTCAGTGGGACTCATAGTATTGAATTGACTTTGCAAAGGGTCGGTTGTACTAAAAGCTAGACGCTATATACCAAGGAGATAAACACACAAAGCCCAGACCTCCAATACATTGTGTTTTTGGACCAATAGATCAGATGTGAACAGTCCTAGGGACTATATATCGTCGAGACGAACTGGGATGGCTAGATAGCAGTCCTAGGAATATATATTGTCGAGACGAACCTTGTAGAAGCTAGATGGCTTTCTAGAAATGGTATTTGCTCAAGTCCGAGATTGCTCAAACTGGATTGCAGTATATATACTTGCAAGCCAAGCTTATTGTAGGCCTATAGACGTGCTAGATGTGGTCTGCAGATCACTAGAGTAGTCCGAAAACCCGAGATCTGATAGTCCGAAGTCTAGACTGTGATCTAGACCTTCTAGACGAGATTCTGGGGTCTTGGAACAACCTTGTTGCATCCAGTAGGATGTGGGATACTTTTAGAATGATGTTGGAGTCAAAATCAGGCCAAGCAGGCTACATCTCCTCTGGCAATGGCAGCTAGACCTGAAAATCGGCCAAATTGGTCATTATTGATGACTATTCTTGGCATAGGGACGTGTGGCAGGCTAGAAACCCCAAATCGGTCATAATTGATGACTATTCTCGGCACAGAACGACAGATCAGCCTGGCTAGCCTCAGAACTCTTCCAGAATCATCCCACTCAATTACATATATCATTACATACTTGTTTTCTCTGTTTAGTATAAAAGGCCTGTAAAAACCCGTAGATAGACACTCTCCCTTGCCCTACTGTATGCCCAGATGGCTGCAGGAAGGTACTGGGCTGAGTCAAACTTATAGTTCAATAATAAAGTGGTCTTGTTGGCATATATAAGCTTTAAAGGACTTAAGCTAGTGTTCATGGAGAGTCATGCACTTAGAGAAAGGCACCTGTTGATTGTTATCTCAGGTCTGCTGTTGGCACTGTTCCAGTGAGTTCAGTCGCAGTACCCGGTCATTGGCATCCGTTCCAGTGAGTTTGGTCGCGATCACAAGTCTAGATCCAGAGTAGTCTCCATCAGAGTACGGCAGGAAATCCTATCTAAGTCTAGAGAGACTTATAGGTCTTCAATAGCTCCTTTGTGGTGCCTAGAAGAAAATCCTATCTAAGTCTAGAGAGACTTATAGGTCTTCGAGATCTCCTTTGTGGTGTCTCGAAGTAGAAAATATATAAAACCCATATCGCTTCAGTAGAAGTAGATAATCCCTGGTCAATCTTTGACTACTTTATGCTCATATTAGTCCTAATAAGACGTCTATCGAGTTGGCATTTTCAAGACACAAACCTGAGGAGTTCAATCTTACCTGTAAACTGCAGGACAACCTAAACTCAATTGTGTGTGTGTGTGTATATGTGTGTGTGTTGGTTGTAGTGTTTTTAGTTGGTTAGTTGCCGTCTAGCAGCTTTCTGATTATCTTCGCGAACATCAGTGTACCCATAGTCACCGTTTCACCGGTTTCCTGCCATTTCTGGTATTTTACTGTCCCAATTTTGTTGATACTGAAAAGTATTCATTGTTGTACATTTCTTGATACTGTGTCACTGTATGTGTTCTATCTGCAATGGATACTATTTTAAAAATTGAACATGGAGGCCTCCGTGATACAACTACCCCACCACAGAGACCCTACCGGCACTGTGGATGGCACCTGCACGCGGCACGTGAATCAATACATAATAGAAGTTCGAACCCTCCCTCTGCGGAGGGGACCTCTTAGGTACCTTTTCCTTATACAGGGAAAGGTACCTAAGAGGTCCTGCACGTGACCAAGAGGGATGACACCTAGGTGCAATCAAACACCTCACTCACAGAGAACTGGAAGCCAGCAGCTTCCGGCCTCCTCTTCCCAAAGTCTTATTTGATTCTTATTGATTCTAACGGCTTAGTTAGCCAGGGCAATTGAACATTACATCAATCTGTGTGTCAACCTCAAGTGGAGGGCATGGTTCAACACCTAAAGTAACAGGGAAAATATTCTTTGTCTGCTTGAACTGTGTTCGTGCAACTCGCTCATTCAACACTGCAAATACTGCCTTGAAAAGGAGGAAGCTTGGATCTAACATATTGTTCTCAGATTTTGTGCGCTCTTTAGCCTTTTGAGCAAATAGTCAGAGGAAGAGCATAGTAATGGGGGGACATTCATTGGGAACTTATCTGTGCAAGAGGATGAGGACAACACCCAGTATTCCTGATTTGAAGTTAATTTCAATAATGGTTGGATTGTCAAATGTGAAGCGTACAGTTTCATCCTCCTATAGCTCATGTGAAACAATCTTGAATCTAGCAATAATTTGAGGGTCATATTGGCCAGCATGTTTCACTTGTATATGAAGAAAGACTGTTATCAGCTCTGGGGGTGGCTCAAGTCAGCCTTGTTGTTTTTTGCAGAAATTTCATTCATTGACACTGAGCAATCTGAAGTATGGGTTGTAAGTCATTCGTTTGTTTTCTCCAATCTCTTGCTGGTTGGCATCCATCTCTTCTGCCGTTAGTTTAAGATCAGCAATTGGGACCAATGAATTCCATTTTGGCATAATACTCTTTATTAGAATTTTAGCAGTGTCAAGGTACTTTCCGGGATTTGGGTATTCAAGCTCATTCCAATCTCTGTTGCAAGCTGGGCATGCACAATTTTTGCGGCCAATGTCACTAGGATTGACAGTATGTGGTCGTCTTGGTACTGTAAACCCCTCACCATAAACTCCTCTAACTTTTCGAAAACAACTGTATGGGCGTAATAATCACGTTGTGATTGGCAGAAAGCGGTGCAGTCTGTTCAATGCTACTTACGAACCTGAAATGTTAACTGTCTATCTGATTTGCCGTCGCGGGATCTACTACTTATTCAGCGCAATTTGGAGTCAAAAATCAATAGAGGCAGTCAGAGTAGCCGATTCTGAGTGATTATGGTCAGTGATTATGGAACAATTATCGATTTTTTAAATACCCATAATCACGCATAATCGTGGGATAATCATGCTCAGCTCTAACCACCTCGATTCAAATTTCAACTATGCTTGGATTATGGACCACAAAACCTTGCCAAAAATCTGTCTCTTGGGCACGGTGTCATCATTGACACATCCGCACACCTTCATGCTGCCAGCCACGCGATAACCAGGGCACACAAAGCTGCTCAAGCGCTCAAGATGGGCTGGTTTGGTATCTTCTTCCGCGTTGCTCTCCACAGCCCATGGCAATTAAGACCAAATTTATATGTTGAATGGATGTAGTGTTGCTGTGACTCAAAAAGTTGGAGTCGCGACTCGGTAAACACACCTGCAAAAGTGAATATTCAGCCGAGATTATGCTGCCTAAACGTTACCTGAAGACACTATTTTCGGCAACATGTTCAGCTGGAGGCATTTTTGCCATTGGCCCGGAAAATGCCGAGCCAATGGCAAAAATGCCGCAAGCTGAATAAGTAGCTGAAAAGGATCTTTTCGGGTGACAATCAGCCGAGCTGAATATTCAATTTGGCCGGTGTGAAAACAACTTGCGACCAAAGTCGACTTGAGTCACTCAAGTTGACCAAGTCAGCACATTTTTCAAATTGCTCCCAGCACCTTGGGAGCTCGTAAAAACGTGAATGCGCAAAAAAAAAAAAAAAAAATTCTGTCTGTCACACATGTCACCATTATCACGGTCCGTGATGATGTCACAAATTTTGCAATTTTTTACACAAATGTCCCCAATGAGTTCCTCAGGCCCCAAGGAACAAAATCAATTTTTAACCCGACTTGAGTCACTCAAGTGACCCCAAGTCGATGGTATCAACTCAACTCAACTCGGCTCAAGTCGGCGCCGCTAAGTCGACTCAGGGGCCTCGGAGTCTGAGTCGCGGCAACACTAAATGGATGTAAATAGTAGTAAGAATGAAAGGGGTGGGAAAATTTTTTGATTGAGGTTGGTCAGTGGGTGACTTCCCGTAAGATAAATCTATTCCAGCTGAATTTCTGGGGGTGCCAGTGATGAGATCAATGCAGGATATTCGCGTCGCTAATGTTTCCCGCAGGCAAGGAATATAATTTAGTTCATTGATGTAGCAAAAATGGATTCTCATGGCACTCGCTCAACCCATGGATGGATGGCTCCAGCCCAGGACCAGTACGAGTACCGCTGTCGCATATACGCCCGCGTCAAATGGAACGATCTCCGAGAGGTCCGGATCGTAAAAGGTAACCAGTCGAAACTTTCTTGTGCATCAGTTCACTCGAAATGGTCTGTGGTGCGCCTAGGGAGATGCTCCGGCAGGTGTGGGTTGGCAAAGTACCGTGTGCGACGTATTCGAACATTGACGAGACTGGCGATCAACCAATGTCATCCCAAAAGGTTTATTCAGAGAGCCTAAAATCTATTGAGGGGGTACCTACCCCTCCTCCAGAATCTTCATCTATTCAAGTGATGGAGAATAAAATACGTCCGATTGAGGTGAGTCGATTGATGGGGTCCTGACAGGTGCCCCGGCATCGCCCCGAAATATTCTGGAGGAATATATCTACGTTACGGGAAGTCACCCAGTAAGATAAGATATAAATTAAACTGTAGGGCTCGACAGAGATGAGCAGAATCATA